ATGGCGGAATACTAGCATGGAACAATAATGACAATTTATTGTACTCTGAAATCCCTGTTTTGGAAAGTGTTCAAATTTCAAAATATTCATTTTGAGCTGAATACATAAAACTGGGAAAAAAAAAAAAAAAAAAATGCAATTACCGTCCGCAACCACTCTGGCGTATGATGTTAGTATGGGACATGGCCACCATGATTAGCAATACAAGATTCCACATGCCGTGCCATGCTTTGCAAACGTTATTCAGCAGCTGTTGGGATAAATTATCCCATTCCTCTGTCAGTTGTTTCTTGGAGGGCATTATCGACAGCACGACTCCTCAAAATATCCTAAATATTTTCAATGAGATTTAGACCTGGAGAACGTGCTGGCCATACGAGGAGTTGAATAAACTCGTTCTCTAGACACTCCTGAACAGCGACTGTTCGGTGATATGCTAAGTTGTCGTCCATGAAAACAAATTTACCACCGACAGCACCGCGGAACATGCGAACATGAGCCAACAAAACATCATTAATTTATCGTTGGCTGGTCATAATCCCAAATGAAAGCATATAGAGTGATATACGGCTAGGTTGATCATGATCCCAGCCATATCTTGATACGACAGGAGGATATCGGTCCCTTTTCTGTATGTTTGCCGGACTGTACCACTCTCATGCCACGCGTCTCACGGACTCTGTACCACTCTCACGTGACGCCTCTCACGAACTCTGTACCACTCTCACGTCACGCGTCTCACGGACTCTGTACCACTCTCACGTCACAGTCGTCCATGAGCAGACGAAAGAATGAATCAACTTTCATCTGAGAATAGGCTTCAAGCCCAGTTGTCTTCCATACAATTGCGATGCTGACGACACCATTGCAAACGGGCGGAACAATGACATCTAGACAATAGAATGCATACAACAGGAGAGCTAGCGTATAATTCTCCTTTACTCAAACATCTGGCTGCATTTTTTGGGAGACTCGCTTGCCATCAGCAAGCAACGGATTTGCTACCTCAGCAGCTGCGTTTTGCCGTTTCTTTTGGTCGATAGCACTATATATCTATCTTCTGCAGTTGTTGTACTGCGAACATAATCTCCCCTGTGACGTTTGCTACATATTCAATTATTTGAAAAGGTTTCAAAGGCAAAAAATAACACTGTGGCTGACGTCGAAATTATTAGCAACATCCGTTATTTTTCGCCCTTTTTTAATCTTGCCAATAATATGATCACGTCTCTTCTTCTTGTGTCGAATGGAAAGAGAGTGACAGCGCGCTTTTACTCTGCATCAGATAAAAGAATGTCTGGAACAACAAAAGGAAAATATGAAGAATCAAGATGGTAGAATGGGATATTTCACTTACCCGCCATCAGTCGGCGAAGAAAGATGAAATGAATGAAAATAGACCAGCAATGTGAAAAAAAATTTCGATCAGTAAGGTAGTAGATATTTCAAATAATTAACAAAATGTTAGGTTAGAATATCCGAAGGATATTTGGGTTTTGCTCTAGGAAAAGGTGAGCATCGCAAAGAGCTGATACAGCTGTTTGGATGTGATAGTATGATCACGTGTATATCATTCCATTCTCATTTATGGTGCATTATTATCGACTAATAAAAATGCTTTAACCAATTTTAGCAAATTAATTTCATTCACCGGTTTTCTAGTTTAAATGAATCTTTTTAGAAGAAGGTTTTTCATTCGTATGAAAAACCGACTGAAAATACGAACCATATATTTGTAATGATCTAGCATCACTCTTTATCACTCTGTGAGCAGTTAGAGTCGATATTATTATAATAAATCATGTATTTTTTAATATTTATTGAATATGCAGAAAATATCTATTCACGAAAAAGATGAATTATTTAGAGTAATCTTTTCTATTCTTTGGTCTTTTCGTAAAAGAGGAAAATATAATTTTGTTAGAAATGCTTTTTTGTAACATCCGGATTTCGTTTTTCAAATCCCGAAATTCAGACAGTGAATGTTTCTTCTGCGAATTGTTGGAAACAAAGTCAAACATCTGAACTTTATGACTAAAATAAAATAGACCAATAAATTTTAGTCAGACGTAAAGGCAAATAAAAGCCTCTTCAAAAAGCATTGGGAATTGAGATTTTAGATGATTTAGATAGAGAGGAAAGATATTTTAGATGAACTTCCTTCCTGTTTACGGCATTTTCAAAAAGCAATGCTTAGATCTCGTTTTGAGTTATTACTATTTTTTTGCTCAAATATTTCCATGTAAATTTCTTCTGTCATCAGATATATTGCATGTACGTAAGAAAAACGTCAGTTTTTGAATTTGGTATTTGAAAGTCATTTTGCCGTCTAAAAATAAATTAAAGCAGCTCGGTAAATTATTCAAACAAAGCTATTATAAAGGAAAAAGCAATACATTTAAATAGTGCTTTCTGCAAATTTTATATTTCTATTTTTTCTATACACATAGTCGGCTAAACTGAAATATATCTTATTAATCATATTTCCCTCGACAACGAAGAACTGGATACGTATTACAGCAATGAATGCTCTAAAAATTATAATGAAATATATACATGTAAAATAATTTTTAAGCTATAAGTTTTGAGTTAAATACTTCATAAAGTAATAATATTGTTTTGAGTTTTCATAGCATTCCTGCACAAACGTGGACTCAAAAGAAGATCGGATTGCTAATAATGGTGAATTTTAAATCAAAATTTCCAGAGAAGAATTTAAGTACATTGAACATAATTATTTTTAATAAATGAATGTTATTACTGTATACATAACATTTCTATATTATGGCTTCTATTATTCTTTGACATTTTGTAAAAGTAACTTCTGTAAATTTTGCAACTACCCTAGAATAACTCCTATATAGAAACCGCAGTAATTAATGCGGTTTAGCACAGAGAATGTCGGTGGACGTTTTATTAAAACGGTCTTCTTTCGAATTATATATTCTAAGTTCTTATAGGCACATAAATATCTGTAGTTTATACAACAACCGTTGTGTTCCTTTAATTATGTTTTGAATTTCTGAATACAGCTTTGAAAAATTAACGTTAACAGCAATGAATATTAATAGTTCCTCTTTTGCGATTCATAAAAAGCATCAAAACCCGTCCAGATAGCAGCATGTATATATGTAATGTTTTCGTATATATGAATGTTTCATATCTGTTATGAGGGTCTGCTTAGTCAGAATAATAACCCATTAATAAATATCATGCTTCTTTTATGCGAACATTGGTTAGGATAAATGTTCCAATAACTGAGGACGAATAACAACCTTGTACAGCGCATTTAATTATTATTATTACGGATCGAAAAGGTTAGCGCTATTGAATAGCGGGAATGTTTAACAATTTATGAATAACGATAGTGAAATGTAAATTTTTGAATCAAGTACAAAAAAAAAATGATAACTTTTATCTTGATTTAAAACATATTTTATTAAAAGTGCTATGGGTGATTTTGAATTTACCTTTAAATTTTCCAAAGTTACCAAAAGACATGTTGACCATAACATATAAAATAAAACTCAATTCAGCAATAAGATACTAGTAACAATAAGGTTGAAAATTTTTGCGTTGTGTTTATTCCGGATTAACCCTTAAAATCCATTTGAGTAAAGACTGGTAAAAATCATGAACACACAAAATAAATTTAACCATTGAATGATCTAGAAAAACTTATTTATTTAATTCTTATGCATTTAGTACATCCATTTCTTAAAAAATCAAAACAATTTCAAACAGTTCAGCACTATTGATTTTTCAATCCATACTCTTACTGAGTAATATTACTTTAGCCTTAGAATCTCTATTAAAATTTACCTTTACAATCTAGTAAGCATATCAGAAATAAACTATGAATAAATGAACAATACCCTCCCCGGGGAACAAAAAAAAAAAAATAAATAAATAAATAAATAAATAAATAAATAAATAAATAAATTTAACAAGTTACACTTTCCAAAAAAAAAATTAAACACTTCACACATAATAATCAATACAAAAATATACTGCATACTATTGCACTCAATCACATCAGTTATGATACTGCTATTGCACATAATAATTTTCAATGTCGCCACCTAATTCTTCGTTGCATCAGTTTTTCTTGGTGTATGCGTTTGTGTATTTACATTTAAGTTCTCAAAAAATATAATGCAGAAAATTGTCTTCTAGAAAGATGCCTCTACCTAATTCTCTACCATAGAAATGCTTCATTAGCTTCTTGCTTACTCCGAAAATAGCATGTTTTAATTTGGTTGGTCAACACCCGCTGCTTCTATGAACTTAGAGGTCGGATTCGCATTTTCCACCGACAGATTCCTGAGCTGAAATTTTTCTCCTTGCTGACTACTGTCGTCTCCAAGTCCTGGACTGTATTTCAACCATCCTGCATTATGGGAACCTCCTTGTTCATCCTGTATCAAATAGAAAACCTCCTCGGCTGCCGTGATAACCTCCATATAATCGACGAACACCTTTCCTGCAACTTAATTAACATTAGAGATTACTTTTTTTTTTAAAGTATAGTTTAACCGGATAAATGCTAAGTATTTACGCTATTACGATCCTACCAACAAGGTTAATCCCTGAGAGTAGCAGAGAGGCTCAAACAAAGATATTACAAATCAATCCTCACCAAGCGGGAACTCCAAAGTTGAATTACATAATTTCATGAAGAACTTATTATTCTTTTACAGTTAAACTAAGTTACGATAATTAAAATAAGGTTATAATTCCTTAGTCAATCTAATCCTTTACTTAATCGACACACAAAAATGATTTCTATAGAGTTAGGTTAACTTTATCAACTAAAAAAAAAAAATTAATGCTCAACAAATAAAATTAATTCAATCATTTAACTGCAGAATTCTATACCATTTATCTAAACGGGAAAGAAAACATAAAAAAAAAAAAAAAAAAAAAAAAAAACTTATCTGTCCCTTGAAGCTCAGGAGTAAATCCGGCAGCAAGTTGCAGGAAAGGTGGTCGTCGATTATATGGAGGTTATCACTGGAGCCGAGGAGGTTTTCTATTTGATACAGGATGAACAAGGAGGTTCCCATATTGCAGGATGGTTGAAATACAGTCCAGGACTTGGAGACGACAGTAGTCAGCAAGGAGAAAAATTTCAGCTCAGGAATCTGTCGGTGGAAAAGGCGAATCCGACCTCTAAGTTCATAGAAGCAGCGGGTGTTAACCAACCAAATTGAAACATGCTATTTTCGGAGTAAGCAAGAAGCTAATGAAGCATTTCTATGGTAGAGAACTAGGTAGAGGCATCTTTCTAGAAGACAATTTTCTGCATTATATTTCTTGAGAACTTAAATGTAAATACACAAACGCATACACCAAGAAAAAACTGATGCAACGAAGAATTAGGTGGAGACATTGATACCCGTAAACCAGGGCCCGCGCTCAAGGCGCAGAGGCACGAGGCCCGTAGCTCTATCGGAAAGGGATATCATTTCCTCGGCAGAATCAGCTGCCGTCGCGTACAGCATCAATTAAAAAAAAAGCAGAAGACGTGTCAAAAGTGTGCTCGTCCCCAAAACAACCCGTTAAAAGGGAGGACGCTGGACTGCCAAGTTGGCACAACCCACTCTTCGCCAAAAGTTGAAATAGTTGCACAACAGCCTTCCCTCATGTTAGCAAACTCGCCGAATCCACCACTTTGAAACCTCAACGGAAAATCTATGTCGCCAAACCTTCGCCAAAAATAACCACGCCTTGTGGAAGGGAAATCTGGAATTTCAACAACCCTGCAAGCAGTTCCAACGAAAGAATGCTGAAATTCGCAAAAAAGTGACTTTTCGACCGGAAAAGGGCATTTCACTCCCCATTACCGAAATCAGAATGCACAACGAAAAAAATCTACTAATTAAAGCTCATAACTGAAATGCAATTAGAAAAACGTTAAAAAAAGTTAGAAAAACGAAAGTTATGTCAAATTAAAGAGCTAATTTTTCTGCAACTAATGATATTAAATACTAAGAAATCAAATTAATTTTTGACATGAAAAACTGAGTTTATTACGTGAAAAAGTTCACCTAAATCCATTGTTTGCGTGTACAAGATTGAAGACGCAGTTCACGTAAACTCGGAAAGTCAAAATATATTACACTAGAATTAATAAGCCAAAAAAAGAATATAACCAAACTTGTGTAGTTCAAATTTTGAATAATTACAAATTAGAATTTTGATTTTTATGAATCACTTAATTAAATTAAATTCGCTACACAACAAAAGCCAAATATGCGTGTAATATTTAATTTACTTTCCGAAATTCCAGGGCTTGAAATATTTTGCATCGAACAGAACTCATAAAATTTACTTAGCTGTTATTAGTTGTCAAAAGTATTATCTATCGTTCCTAGTATTTTTAGAAATATAAAGATATTAAAATTTAACAAACAGGAAAATGAGCTTTATTTTATGATACTGAATGTTGTTAACAATTCTGTCAGTGTCCTATGATTATTATAATTCTGATACATAATCAACTTTATTTTAAATTAATTATATAGTCAGACATAAATATTTACGAAGCAAGCTGAAAAATAAGGTATTTTCCTTTCATATCTTTACTTTGCTCTGTTTTCCTTAATTCATACTTTATTGCGCTAAAGTATTTTTAAATTAAATCCACGAAAATGCGAGGATACAATTTTGGGAAAGTATGCAAAATATAAACGCGTATTGGATTCTTTCTCAGCTATTTCAAAACTTTAATCATTTCAATTAAGCTGTGAAAGCGGTGTTCATCCATGCACATGATCTACAACAGATGCCCTACGTCACGAGTTATCTTTATTACTTTTTAATTTTCTTATTTTTGAATATTTTCCTTTCCTACAAATATTGTTAAATATGTAAAAATCATTATTCATGAAATTGTCTTAATAAGCAGTCTTCTTCTATATAAATAACGAAGAATGTGAGCGTGTTTCCTTTTACATTCATATATACCGTTTTATCCAGATCTGGATGAAATCTGGAACATTTCTCCTCCAAACGAGATGAAGATCACGGTCTACACAGGATGTCGCAGAAACCAACTAACGGGTTTGCATTTTTTATCTACGTGTATTTTATGGTAATTTAAAGAAATTTAGATTAAAAACTCGGTGGTTTAAAAGATTTATTTTTTCACTCTGCAAGGCAAAAGATATTTACGTTTCAAGCTTATGAAAAGTCTTGCTAATGTAAAAGAAGTCTGTTGCCACGCAACAATACGCAATATGTTTATCCTTCAAATTTAATAAACAACTCAGGGATTTAAGTGAAATATGCCCGCATTACCTATTTTGGAATAGTTTTATCTTCCAAGAATCTATGAATTATCCTTTAACAAAGAGTAAAATATTTTATTTTCTTTAATTTATTTTATTATTAATTAACAAACTAAAAGATTTGTACACAATAAGCGCAGATTCATTTTAATTATAATTATTTACCAGTTGGAATCGTGAAATTATCATTTCAATTATTTAATTACCAGCTGGACTCGCGAAATTACATTGCTAAATTCATTAATGTTATGTATATACATCAAGAAGAGTGTCTATTTGTTTTTATTTGCGTGTATGAAATTCATGGAAAAATACAGTTTTTTAGGATTTTGATGACGTTTTGCATAGTTGACCTTCACAACAAGAGGAAAGTCACTATTTACATAAGATTTTAAAAAATCACCCAACAGCTTCCATTATCTAAATATAAATATTAGAAGATTGCTCTCATAAAACCTACCGTAGGTTCACGTAGACGTCATTGCATTATCGTTTACAGTGGATGGCATACATGCTAAGCAAGGAATTTATTGGGTTGTTCGGAAAGTAATTTCGTTCCCGTCAGAGGACTTAATTACATTTTTCCAACTTCAAACTTAAGCCGCATAACCATTATATGTCTTGAGAGCTGATATTACAAGGCTTGTGTGTGAAAATGTTCTATTAATTCTACGCAGTAGTTTTTGGTTGGTGCCCTTTTAAATATGGAGAGCAATAAGCAGCATTTTCGTCATATTTTACTTTTTTACTTCAGAAAAGGTAAAAATGCTGTTCAAGCCAGAAAAAAATTGACGGATGTGTATGGAGAAGGCGTGTTAACAGTTCGCCAGTGCCAGAACTGGTTTACAAAGTTTCGATCCGGCAATTTTGATGTCGAAGAGTCTGGAAGGCCGGTCGAAGCTGACAAAGATACGATAAAGGCATTACTTGATGCAAATCGGCGAATAACCACACGAGAGATCGGTGAGAGGTTAAATTTGTCGAATTCGTCTGTTTATGGCCACTTGAAAGGCCTGGGCTTAACCTCGAAGCTCGATGTGTGGGTGCCCCATGTTCTTACGGAGCGAAATTTGTGTCGTCGCGTTGACGTGTGTGATTCGCTCCTCAAACGTCAGGAAAATGATCCATTTTTGAAGCGGATTATTACTGGGGACGAAAAATGGGTCGTATACAACAATGTGAAACGCAAGAGGTTATGGAGCAGAAAGGATGAACCGGCTCAAAGCGTTTCAAAAGCCAACATTCACCAAAAAAAGGTGATGCTGTCCGTTTGGTGGGATTTCAAAGGAATCGTGTTTTTTTTTTTTTTTTTTTTTTTTTTTTTTTTTTTTTTTTTTTTTTTTTTTAGCTTTTACCGGACAATACAACTATTAATTCGGAAGTCTATTGTCATCAGCTGGACAAATTGAATGATGCACTTAAACAGAAGAGGCCAGAATTAACCAACAGAAAGGGTGTAGTGTTCCACCAGGATAATGCGAGACCTCATACAAGTTTGGTCACTCGCCAAAAGCTTTTACAGCTTGAATGGGACATACTGCAACACCCACCATATTCTCTAGATCTGGCGCCTTTCGATTATTATTTGTTCCGGTCCCTCCAAAATTTTTTTGGATGGTAAAACCTTTACCTCAAATGAAGATGTCAAAAACCACCTGAATCACTTTTTTGCCAGCAAGGACCAAAACTTTTATGAGCTGGAAATCATGTTACTGCCAGAAAGATGGCAAAAGATGTTGAACCAGAATGACCAATATATAATTTAATAAAATATTTATTCATTATACGAAAATTGTCTTTCATGTTCCCCCAAAAAACGAAATTACTTTCCGAACAACCCAATATAATTTTTTCTACGAAAATAAAAATTAGTATTTCTACACAGTTTCAAACAAGGGGAGTCATCACCTTTACACATTCAAAAAATCGAATTTTATTTTTTTTTGCATTTTTAGAAGCTGTAGACATTTCTGAGTCTGTTAAAATATTCGAACTGCGTTAAGATATTCGAATTAGAACCCTAAAAATTATGAAATAACGAAAACGATTCTGAGGTAAATATTGCCAGATCGGGCATTTAAATCATCACCTGACGTTTATTTACATTTGTACACGCAGTTGCTTACGAATGTTCACTCGTAGATTGCTTTAATTTTTACTGTTAACATCATGTATATTGGTAAAACAATGTGTCGGACAGATTCAGAAAAGAATGGGCACTATACGAAAGAGAAAGCAAGAAATGAAGGGGAAGAAACTTAGTGACAATAAAACTCTCAGTGGAATAGGTCGCCTTACGGATGATAATATAACCGAATTAGCAATTTATTATGGAAATGCTATTAGAAAACTTTGCAATTCTGTAAAATATATGCAAAATGCATATTTTACCACTAACGTTCAACCAACGTGGAACCTACTCACAAATTTTTGCCAAATAGGAGAGGATTTGTGGTGTGTGCGAGTGAAAATCTGAAATCGTACAAACATAAAAATTCAATTCCACCACCTGTAATGGATGCTACCAAATATATATTTAAAGATCTTATAGTACGATTATTATTTAAAAAAGTGTTTAGGAGGACATACACAGAATCCAAATGAATCGTTGAATTGGATTTGGAAATTGTGCACTAAAAACTCGGTGTGGTTATAACACTGTTAAGACAACAGTGAATGAGGCAATTATTATATGTAACGATGGCAAACCTGGGCGATTACATACTATGAATAATTTTGGATATCGAATTGGTGATCTTGCAGTAAAGTTTGCAGCAAACACTGATCGCTGTCGTATTCAGTCAGCAGAAATAAAGGCAGAGATGTCTACAATGCATGCTCGCAGAGCAAGAAAAAGAACCAAACTTGTTGCAGTAGCAGCTGTTGAAGAACAGGAGGGTATGGGGTTTGCAGCTGGGCAGGTTTAAAGTGTTTTAGTGTTATTTGAGAGGAAAATATATTAAAAATTTTGAAACCTTTTTAATTTTGAACTTAATTTTTCTCAAAATGGTGATTTTCATACTTGCGCGCACTCTTTAAAAAATATATCATAGCTATTGATTTAAAAATTTCATGGAAGGTACATGATGATATTGCTCAAAAAATGCACCTATTTTTTTCTTTGAAAAATTATTTTTTACGTATTTATGTAACTTTACTTAAAAAATTTTTAATGCTTTTTCTGTTTTCTAAGATCTTATTGTAATGGCGTTAATATTCTTTGATATTTTAAATTTTAAATAGGTGAAGAATCATAACTAATATTTCATTACAAAATTATAAAAATTATTACTGTAACTAAATAATTATTACTGTCAGTTTTCGCGCAGTGCTTCAGTACAAATTTTAAATTTTCGGAAAATACAGTTAGTTTTTTCTTTATAAAACAAATTCTTATAACTATTAAGTAAAATAAATAAAGAAAGATAATCATCTATGTATAGAGATGGCACACTGAAAATTTCATATATCTATGACGAAAACAATTTGACTTATTAAAACTCGAAAATCAGCTAAAATTCTCACTTTTTGTGTTGCGCAAAAGTGATGACTCCCCTTTAAAACTAGGTCCCAGTCCTTATCCTCAGTCGTCCTTTAAAAGAGTGAGTATAAAGCACTTTCAGCTTCCTTTCTGCACGCTTTCGTGGTGTAACGGTAGCACACTCGGCGAGTATTCGAGAGGTACAGATTCAAGTCCCGGTGAGGGCATTGCTAATTTTTCACGTCTCCAGCATAAAAAAAAAAAAAAAAAAAAAAAAAAAAAAAAAAATTAAAAATTAATGACTCTACAATGGATTTATTTGAAATGTTGTAACTTAGAGATATTTCTTATAAGCTGTTCCTGTTTCTAGGAATGAAAGGGGATATAATCCAATTAAAATTTGTGTTAAGGAACTATTGCAAATTAAAGTCAATTAATTTTATCTTTTCATATTGCTTATGGCAAACCTTTTTTCTCGTTTTCACACTAAACATCAATGATAGTCAAGTTCTAAAATGCGGTGACTATTCTAGGTGAGAGAAATCATTTGAAACCATACTGTCCATTTGAATTGGCTACACAGAGTAACATGTAAACCAATAGGAAAAGAAAAAAAGCAAAGAATATTAATCGTTTGAAATAATACGATTATACTTTAAATGCTTTTTTCTCAAATCACGAATTTCTTGCAATTGCTCCAATTAAATCAGTCTGCATATTAAAAAAATCATAATTAAAGACATCTATCTGTATTGGAATAGGCAGAAAAATATTTTCTTTTCTTATTATTGGCATTAATATCTCTTAAACCTTGAACTGTGGAATATATTTCTATACTGGATTTCGTATCAAATACGAATATGGATTACTTGAAAAAAAAAAAAAAAAGAAAACAGATTTATTTGGTTTATTAGCAACGTAAATTAGTACAAATAAGCAAGAAAATATGACTTTTTTAACGAAACAATTTCGTTGGAGAATAATTAATCTAATTGTATCAAAGCTTGATTATTTTGGTGATTCGTCAACCGTGTCAAAATATGTAATGCTTCATAAAGACAGATGCTTGGTTTTAAAAAGAATATAAAATACAATGTACAAAGCACTATTGTAAAGTTTAAATGAGCATTCATCTGTGATCCAGAAATGAGTTGATTTGTTTTATATTAACTCCTATGAATAAATTTGTTTTGTTTACGAACCTTTCTGTTGACCAACGGTCTTCAGAAAGCGAATCAAGTTCGCAAACTGATATTTCCTTGGATTAAATTACTTAATTTTTAATAGTATTAAAGAATAATAGCATTTATGCATTTTAATAGCATTTATTTAATTTTAAGAGTATTTTATTTTTATAATAGTATTATAGAATGAATTGAAGCTCTGAACTCTCGAAATAGTAGCTAAGAAGAAATTTTCCATAAAACAGACTTGTACGTAGCAGTTACTAATAAAGCTTCTAAGAAATATAGACTGAGAGATGTATTAGGCCGAGCAATAATTTTGACCTTTAAAACATAAACGCTTTATTTTTAACCTAACAATAGTATGCTTCTGAAGACCGTTTAACTTGATTTTCTTTAATATGCCGGTAATGTGCCTTTATTATGAGTTTTAATGATCTGGGATTTTTTTCCTACATACGCAAAGTCGTATTCACAAGGAATTATATGAATGCTTCATAAATAAATGTCTGGTACTTTGTTTTTTATAAATGAAAATTTTATTCTATTGAGAAGTTTAAAGAAAGCTGGAAAACTATACTCTTTAAAGAATTTAGAAAGGATGGTTGGTTATTTGAACATGACATTTCACACTAGGGCTATCTACTTGAGGATAGAAATGGCTTCGTGGAAGACTTACTATTGGAAACTGGCTCGCATATACTTTACCGTGAATGACCGAAACTGGAGAATGTCGACATTCTTCGCTGAATGTCGACACAGACAAAATCCTGTTTTCATGGTATATCAGAAACAGGCTAATGTATTTGCGTCTTTCGTTGCACCACTCCTCCGATGACGAAGCAGAAATAGATTAAAATTTCATTTTTACTTTTTCATATTTAATATTTCCTTCTACCACGCAATTTACCACTGTTGATTTTATTAGTCCAAAGGGGCATTGTCCCTGAAGGACTATTGCTTACGTTTTGAGATTTTGCGTCGAATCACTCTAAACGGCGTATCACATTTCGAATTGTTGCCACCAACTGTTACAACACTATATTATGTTTAAAGAAATATAAATAATGAAGAATCTGCACAAATGTATGTATGTTTCTCGCACTATGATGAAGCAACGGTACCTAGAGCCACCAAAATTTGAATAACATAATATTCCATAGGATACGGGCAAGTGGAAGCCCTAATTTGAATTTGGAATTTGTTTTATTATCCTGATTTTATATTTGTCTTAACTTTAAACGAATTTTTGATTAACAAACTCAACGATTTAAGAGCGAGGAATGGCAACACTCTACGGGGCAAAAAAACCTTTTTATCTCCAGCGCGTGGAACTGTGTATCGGAAATACTGAAGATATGCTCATTTTAAAACTATTTTGCGACACTGATGTTGAGCTGAATTTTATGGTTTAAGAGGAAAGAACATTATATTTAATAAATGAAGGTAACACACAAAACGTTAAAAAACGCCCCTTTGGACGTAATTTAAAATTTCATAAAATTAATAAAGAAATTATACATTTCAAATAAAATTTAAAAGATTCAAAATTTGGTATCCAGAAATATTTAGTTTACTCTACGTGAAGTTTTATTTCAGGTTTCCTGTAATTTCAAAATCTATGTATTATTTTATAAAGCAATCTCTTCACAATTTTTTGCAAACTCAGTTTTCCGTTCTTTATAATCTCATTAAGAAAAAATAACCGAGGAAGTAAAATAAGGTATATATATATTATGAAAATATGCTTAATGCCCTTTCACTATAATTCCTTCCATTAAAAATGATAGTGCAACAATGCTAGAGAAAGAATCAATCTAAGAGTCTTTTTCACATTTATTTACAGGATTAAAGGCAGAAGACGTTAAACTGAAATAGTATATCCTTTCCAAGAAAGTATGGATTCATTAATAAAGAATAACCCTTCTTTTCCTGAAAAGAAACGTGGCTTTGCTG